ATTATGCGTGGATTTCGGAACTCCCGATTGAGATATCGAGCCTATGCGGCTGTTGTTTTTCAATAGTTTCAGAGCCTTGTATTATTTTTTGATCCATCGTCTCGTTTTTGTCGTTCGTTCCCCAACTGTTAAATGTCGTTTCGTTGTTCGAAATCAAAAACCCGGTTCTTCTAACATTTCGAAACTCTGTTTATATATATGGTTTGCAAAAGATTTACAATGTCTCGGAGCTATTGCTGTCACAAATTTGTTTAATTTCAGAATCCCGTTTTATTTTAAATTTTTTAGCCTTAGCGTAGTCGTTAAGTCGCTTGGTTGTTTGCGAACCGTTATTTATCATTTTGCATTCCGAGAAAACCCGGTTTTATAAAATTTTCGAACTCTGGAGAAGTTATTATTTTGGAAATTTTCTGAGAAATTTCGAACCCCTTCGTGTCAAATTGTCGAAAGCTGTAGCCGGAAATTTTTGTTCAGTCTGCTTTGTCATATTCGCAGGCTTTTATTATATTCAGATGATCTAAGTTTCCTTGAATGTTGCATCCATGAGCTTGGTGCAGTGGTTACCACCCTCCTTTATGTGTGCGAGGGCGTGGGTTCGATCCCAGCCCCTTGCAAATAGCCTTTTTTTTTGGTTTATTAGATAGCAGCCAGCACGCGGGCCGATTGGCCCGATTCCGGCCCGCGCGTAAGCCCAGCAGGCCCGCGACCTGCAGCCACATTGTTAGGCCCAAAGTACTTAACAGTTTCGACCCAATTCGTTCTTTTAGTCCTATTTTGTGTTCTGGAGCCCCTTTTTAATACTGATTTAAATTTTTAAAATATTTTTCAAATGAGAAAAATTTGAAAAAAAATTATTTTATGTCTCGAGACTCAAATTTTGGTTCTCCGAGTCCTATTTTTCTAAAATGAGAGAGTTCCAAGTCCACGAAAAATCCGATTAAAACCCTTAAGTCTTAATTTTTATTAAGTATGAGTTTTATGTTAAATTTGAGTAGTGAGATAAAT